TTTTTTTATTTTTTGGTTTTACTATTTTGGGGGGTATTTCTTATTTTCCGTCGAAAATCCCCCTGTAGGGGGACAGGCCCGACTGAAGCCGATGCCCCCCCCCCCCCCCCGGCCCGAGCCTACCGCACGCTCCCCTCACGCTGCCCCTGACTGCTGCTCCTCGTGGGCACTCTGCCTCGGCGGCGCGCCCCGGGGGGACGCGAGCGAGGTGGGAGGGCACCACCGATGCACCTGCACCGACCTCGGCCAGGCCCATCCTGGGGCCCAGGGTGATCCTGGCCAGGATCGGTGTTGGTGCATAGCTGGTGCCCTCCCGAGAGGGGGCACCGACCTCGGCCAGGCCCATCCTGGGCCCAGGATCGGTGCATGTGCCCTCCTCTGCCCCCGGCAGGAGGGCGTGTGCACCGATCCTGGGGCCCAGGGTGATCCTGGCCAGGATCGGTGCTGGTGCATAGCTGGTGCCCTCCCGAGAGGGGGCGCGGGCCTTCTCAGACGCCGGCGGGGCTGCCCCAGAAGCCCTCGTGGCCTCCCGAGAAGTGCTCTCTCCGCCCTCGGGGAAGGCTCCGAGAGCTCCGCCAGAAGGCCGGAGGCCCTCCGAGCCTTCCGAAGAGGCCCGCCCCCTCTCGACTTCTCGGCGGTGGACAAACCTCCCTTTAGTAAACCTCCATCTTCTCCTATTCCTCCTCTTCCTCCTCCTCCTCCTCCTCCTCCTCCCTCCTCCTCCTCCTCCTCCTCCTCCTCCTCCTCCTCCTCCCCCTCCTCCAACTCCTCCTCCTCCAACTCCTCCTCCTCCTCCTCCTCCCTCTAGTGAAAACGGCCTAGGACCGAAACCGACGGACCTGGACCCGCAAAAAGGACGGCCGCGACGCCCTCCCGCGAACCGAAAACGGCCAATTCCTGAATCGACGTGTCAGGGTAGGAGGTCTGTCCACCCCCGAACTTCCCCCCTGGGCTCGCCGCCGATTCTGCTTGGCTCCGGCACTCGCGCTCGGCATGGGGGAAGCAGGTCCCGAGGGCAACGGGTCCTGGGCTCTGGGGCCCTCCCCCGGGGACCACCTCTCTTCATCCCGGGATCCTTTTTTCTGACGGTCCCGAGGCCCGTGGAGGACCCCGACGACCCGAGAGCGGCGAAAAGCCTCAGGGCCCGCTTCTGGGGAAACCATCAGGCACCGATGCCGCTGCTCCTCGGACCTCTCCCGGGGCGCAGTCTAGCGAGGATTCCGAGGCGAATCCAGCGGTGGCGACGAGGGCCTCCCAGGAGGCCCAAAAAGGGTAAAACGGGCGAAGGGTAGAGGCATGGGTACCGTTTCCTCCTCCGAGTTTCCCTCGGGGCCCGCTTCCCCCGCGGCGGCTCACGCGCCAGCCACGGCCGCCCGCAACAGCGGGTCCCGCCGCTGCCGCGCAAAGAGGTGGTCCCAGTCGGAAGGGGCCACTCCTCCCGTCGGGCGCTGCTGGAGGTGCCCTTGGCCCGAGGTGCAACCAGGAGGAGGAGGAGGAGGAGGAGGAGGAGGAAGAGGAGGAGCAGCAGCAGGAGGAGGAGGAGCAGCAGGAGGAGGAGGAGGAGCAGCAGGAGGAGGAGGAGCAGGAGCACGGGCAGGAGCACGGGCAGGAGCAGGAGGAGGAGGAGGAGAGCTTTCCGCTCCAACTTGGATCCCCAGGCTACCACGCGGACACCTCCCACGCTGCCCGTATGCTGCCACACGGGGGCCCTTCCATGCTGCCGCACGGGGGCCATCCCTGCCTCGCCCAGGCTACCACGTGGACACCCCCCACGCTACCCGTATGCTGCCACACGGGGGCCCTCCCATGCTGCCGCACGGGGGCCATCCCTGGCTCGCACAGGCTACCACGCGGGAAGCCCCCACGCTGCCCAATGCGAGCAAACGGGGCCATGCTACCACACGGGGGCCATCCCGGGCTCGCCCAGGCTACCGCCGGGGGAACCGCCCACAGTACTGGCTAGGGGGCGAAGAACGGTATCAGATGTTAGGGGGCGAAGAACGGCATAAGATACAGTAGGAGCTCGACCACAAGAAACCTTCCAACAAGAAACCCAAGCCTGAGACCCCAGGACGTCCATTGATTTCTGGTGTGGGAGCGTCACGCTTTCCATAGCAAGACCATCGAACCCAAGAAACCCAGGGCACCGTGGAGGCAAGCAGGCTGTTTCTTGGCATGGGCTGCCACTATGGGCGAAGAACGGTAGAACATAAACTTTTTCGCCGTCGGGGACGCCTGCCCCTCAGGCGGCCGCAAAGTTTGTACCCCTGCGCTGCCACGTAGGGGTATGAATGTTCCAGCCGCCCGGGGGGCAGGCGTCCCCGACGGCGGAAAAGTTTATGTTACACCGCTCTTCGCCCGCTGACCTGGGGCCCTCTGGGCCTCGTGGGGGGTACCCCGGAGGCTGCGGGAGGCCTTCTTGGAAATCTTGGGGGCCCACTGGACCAGGGGCACTTCTGACAGCACTCGGGGAGATGTAAGACTCGGGTTCGGGGGATTCGGATTGACCCAGCGGGGCCGTCAAGAAAATGACGAGGCCCAGTCTGAATTGCGACGCGAGCTCCCGCTGCAGACATCCCACGAAAACCGGACTGTCAAACTCCAGGACGGGCTAGTCAAAAAGCGCAGGTGGACCCGAGTTCCAGCGAACTCGACTACCGATTCTGCGAATTACTCCCTAGACCTCTCCTGGGGTGCGTTCTGACACGGACTTCGAGGCGAATCCAGCGGTGGCGACGAGGGCCTCCCAGGAGGCCCAGGAGAGGAAAGGACGAGGGAAGCGCAGCTGCATGGGCCTAAAAACGGAGGCAAAGGGCACCTACGAATCTTACGCTGAGGGCACCTACGAATATTACGCTGAGTATCGTGTAACCGATCCCCATCCCCAGCGGCGCGGCCTGGGCCCCACTGGCCGATGTACCCCCCTAGATGGGAATATAGGCCGTTCCCTTCGAGTTTCGAGGGGTGCATCCCCAACTGGGGGGGCAATTTGGTAGAGGTCTCGAGGGGGATGGGGATGGGGATGGGGGTCGGTGAAACGATACCCATCTGACGTGCCCCCGAACGTGGGGCGCGGGGCGATTCCTGCAGCACCCCATCCTGGGCCGCGGGCCAGCGGCTGCCTCGCCCCGGGCACCGCCTGCGGCCGCGGGCGCCGGGCCCCCGCGCGGTGCCTGAGCACATGGGCCGCGGCGGCCTTCGGGAGAGGACGAGCCCTGAGATCCTGGCGACTCGATTTTTTCGAACCGGGCGGTCTCGCCTTTTTTCGGGTCCCAGGGACGAACCCTGAGATCCTGGCGACTCGATTTTTTCGAACCGGGCGTTTTCGCCTTTTTCCGAGCCCCGGGGCCCTCACAGATCGATGCGGCTCGAAAATCGGCGCCGGAAGATGGGGTCCGGGGCTCCGGGCGCGCACTTCCAAAATGTTGCAGCTTTTTCGCTACGTCGGATCTCAGGGAAGGGGTACTGGTCGGAAGAAGTAGGTACTCTTGGACATCGAAGCCCCAGTCTACCTCAAGCGCTGTCCTGCTTCGAGAGTCGATATGCGCTTGGTGTTTTGTGTTCTGATTTGGGCAGGCCCGAACCCAATTTACTTGATCCGCCTTCCTGAATCATGCTTCCACATACTTTTTTCGAATGGCGGAAAGTAGGAAGGCGGACGAAGTAGATTGTTTTAGGGCAAATCCGCCGACCCTGTCGGCGTGTGCGAGGGGTTTGTTCGTTGGAGTCGTCGTCTCCGTCATTCGTTAGTCGTCGTCTCTGTCGTTCCCTTTCTCTGCGCCCTCCCTTTTCCTGGGCCCGTCGCCTCCCCCGCCCTTTCTCTGCGCTTTCCTCCTCAAGCGCTGGGCCCGTCGCCGCCTCCCCTCCCTTCCCGAGGCACTCCTCCCCAAGCGCGCCAGCCAAAAGCAAAATTGAGCAACGTCGTAATTGACTCAAAGGGAACCCCCTTCCTTTTGATCCCTCCCCCGCCGGGAAGGGGGGGGTCCCAGGTCAGATACGTTTCCCCCCTGGGAGGTCCCGGGCGAGGGTCCCCGTAAGCAGACTTATCCGCTACTATGCTGTTGGTTTGCAGCTGGGGAGTGAATCCTGCCCGAGGGCCATCGATGTGATACATTACTATGCTGTTACGGCGTTCCTTGTGCCGATGGGCCTAGCAACGCGTGCCAGACATGGTGGCGGCATCGCCCCAATCGCCCCAACCGTCGCTATCGGGCGTCGTTCCCCCTAGATACTTCCCGTTTGAACCGCTTGAACTTGTTTAAACACCCAGCGTTTCACTAATTGTCGTTTGGCTTCGACGCTCTGTCGACACTCGCGAAAGCGCCGCCAACGGCACCCGCACATGGAATACATTGTGAAACCTGACGTTTTCCAATGGCTCAGGCGGTTGCAACGGGAACAACTGGAGGATAACTGCGGCAGACGCCCCACGGCGAAATACAAGCGGCAGGACAAGATGGCGGGGACGGGGCGGAGGTTTTCCCCTAGCGAGTCTGCAAACGAAGCGAGCCATCCCGAGCGAGCCCTGCCCCCGCGCGCGTCGCGCGCACCCTGCAGGCCAAGCCGGGAAGCTAGCGACTAGGCGGCCCTGCTACCGCGAGCTGGACGGCGTGCACAGCAGCGACCGCACAAAGAATCCCGAGCAAGTCTTCCCCGAGCGCACCGCGCAAAACTCTGCAGGCGCACGCGAGGAATCTAATCCCAAAACGGCGGCTCGCCTCATGGCCACGACCTTGACGGCCAGGCAACGGGCCCCCCATCGCGCCTGGACCGTTCACTCCGATCACGCGCCGCCGATGGCCGCGTCGGAGACAGCCGCGTCGCCTTCACACCAGCGGCCTGCCATCCGTCGACGGCTCCTGCGTGCCAGGCAACCCGCCGCCTGGCTCGATGCCGCGTTGCTCCTCCTGTGCGACTGACTACCCGCCGCCCTCGGGCGCGCCGCTGGCTGCCACGGCGCCGAGCAGCCCACCGCCCGGCTCGCGCCCGCGCCGATGCTCCTGCACGCGAGGCAGCCCGCCGACTTCCGGCGCACCGGTGACCGCCGCAGCCGCATCGATATCCAGCCACTTGCCCATCTCCTGAGCCAGGTGGCACACCTTCATTCTGGGCCGCCTCAGCCTTATCACCATCGCTCGGGCGGCTGCGTTTCGCCGAGAACGCGCTGATCGTCTCGCCGCCTACTGCCTTCAAGGCGACGCGCGCACTGCGCGTCTTCCAAACGCGGTCGGCCACAGCATCGAACACCCCCGCGATTTCGGACATGGAAGGCATGGCCAGGCACACACCGTCGAACACCATACTCACAACGCACGCGCGCAGCCCCTTGGAAGCAACAGCCACGCTCTCGAGGATGTTGTCCCCCATCGTCTGCAGGCGCAGCGCTGGCGCCAAGGGCCCTGGATGCGCCTTCAGCAACACCCTCTCCATGGATGCAACATGGCGGTTCCTGAAGGTCCCCGCGCCACCGGCGGCCCCCACCGCCGCGGCCGGGCCCGCCGCGGGAAAGCAGCGAACCCCGAAGCCGCGCGCAGTCGGGCAGGCCAGCGGCGACGTCGAACTCCAGAACTTCGCCTTCTTGCATTTGTCACACTGAGCCGCCAGGATCCCCTGGCCACGCCTACTCCTAAACTCCATCAGGCACGGCAGAATGTCGTCGGGGCGATCGCTCTCCCAGGATGCATTGAGCCGAATGCTGCCCTTGAACGGTAGCCGCGAAAAGATCTCCCTGGCATCGGACACGTCGATGTTATAGTACTGGGCAACGACGGCGCGCCACTCTCTGGACTTGTCCGCGCACATCTCGACGACCCCGAAGTCGCGCTCAATGGCGCCAGCCGGAACGCGCCGGCGCAGCGCCTCCAGGAATGCGATGTATAACGCCGCAATCCTGTCGAACTGATCCATCGCCAGGCCGTCGAACGCGACGACTGGCGTCTCCCCGGCGCAAGACTGAAGCCCTGGGACTGCCTCGCACGCGCGGCCGACCTTGTTGAACTGGTAGTACTCGCGGTGAAGGACACGGATGCCTGGGCACTCTGGCACGGAGGTTGACCGGAGGAAACCGCCCTTCACGGTGCAGGCCTTGCCCGCCTGGCCCAGGAGATCCACCCGCGCGGACAGCCCGTCCTGGCGACGCGCGCCCGCGACGACAGCCCTGGCGTCGCGCCGGGCCCGCAGCGCGGTCAAGTTGGCTGCCTCGCAGACAGTGCAGCGGCAGCGTCGGCTCGGCATTTCGGCTTCGGCGGGCTTGGCGAGCGCGCCCCCCGCGGGGGCGCAGGTGTCCAGGGGCGCGTCGCACGAGCATTCCGCGAGGTCGCCGAACGCGGCAGCGTCCGCGAACAGCTGGTTGCACAGCGACGCGTCGAAGGGGAGCACGGCCACGAACGCCTGCATTCTCTGCCCGCGTGACTTCGCGGCCCCGATCTGGAAAAGGTTGGCTTCGAGGCGACCTGACGCGCGGACGTGGCTCAGGAGGGCAGCCCGCCGCTTCGTCTCCGGGGCGGCCAGTGGCAATTCGCAGCTGGTCTGCCCCACCTGGCACTGCAGAAGGGCGCGGGCCCCGGACGCGTAGAGGCGACGTGGATGTCCTGGACGGGTGCGAATGACTCCACGTTCACCTCGCCCTCGCCAGCGCCGTCACCGCCCACTCTGCCCCGCTCGGCCATCCACGCCTCGAGCCATGGCGCCGCGGTCTTCGCCCCTGCCGCTGCCAGCTCACGCGGCGAGAGGCCCCCGCTCGAAGACGCGGATGACCCGATGGCGACGAGGTCGAGCAAGTGGCCGATCGCAAACTCGGGCACGCCAATATCCGCCCCGAGCCCGCGGTCCTGCAGGAAAGAGCGCGGGGGCGTGGGGGCGCCGAAGGAGTCGCGAAACTTCTTCGGCATGCACATCGGCAGCAAGCGGTCGCGCTCCGAGCCCTTCGGAACCTGCCCCCATGACGGGATGTCGCTGCATGCGAAAATGTAAATGCACATGGGTTCCGTATTCTCGGCATCGCCCGAGTTGCACGCGCGGGCGGTAAAGGGGTCGGTCGAATTCCTGTTTTTTGAAGACAACGTTGCTCCAAACCGCGGAATGCACCTCGCTGCCGAAACGACTCGAACCCCGCGACGGAAAGCGCCCAGCGCGTCGTGCTCGCGTTCGGAAAGCTTGTCCGCAGCGAAGACTGTGGCTCGGACAGGGACGTAGTACTTCCCCCAGACAGCCTGGAAGATCTCTGCGCACATGCCCTTGCCACGGCGGCCCCGCCTAGACCCCGGCAGCACGCACTTGCAGGGCGGCGCGCCTTCGAGGATCCGCGGCTGCAGATGCATCACATGCTGGAAATTCCCAGCGCCCGCGCCCCCGAGCTCCCCGGCGCGATCGCCGGGGCGATGGTCGCCCTCGCGCGTGCACAGCGATCGCGAGATAGACCATGACCTCTGGCGGTCGTTGGCCGACTCGGATTCCACGAGGTCTGAGTTCTGCAGCCACCTGTCGCCGAACATGGCCACCCTGTCTCAATGCCCTAAAACGCGCGCTCGCCCCCGTTCGAACCGCCAAAACCAATGACAAACCTAGGCGTTTCATACATTCCCTAATCGCGAGGTCGCGCCGACGACGTCCGCAGGCGCGCCGACAAGGGCGTAAGTTTGCGGGAAATGCGGAAGCTTTTAGCTGTTCAATGGTCTAGGCGGTTCCAACAAGGAAAACGCTGCGTTTGTCCACCCGAACCCATTCGCGCATCGCCCGCCCCCCCCCGTTTCACGGCCGCCCGCCTCTGGGGCGCGCAAATCGGGCTGCGCGGGGAAGTCGCGTCTGTTGGGCGGCCTGGACGGACGGCGTTCGAGCGGAGGGCCACCACGCAATTGCTGAGCTGAAAAGAAGATCGCGTCCAGGTCGAACGCGGCCTCCCCGTCGAACACCATGGCAGAGTCTCTGGTATCCTCCACGCCTTGCTGGCACTCCAGCGTCGCCGCAATCGTCCAGAAACTGCTGCCCGGGGCGGGGTTTGCCATCCTCGCCCTCCCCGAAACATTTCTCCGGGCGACGGCGCCCGGCAACCTCCTGGAGCAGGGGCAGGAACCTCGCCTGGAAGAACGCCTGGACCCTCGTCGACGATCGCTCGACAACACGCCAAATCTGATCCCACGCCCATCGGTCGCCATCGCGACTGCAGTACATGATCGGCCACTGGTCCCCTTGAAAGAACAAGTAGGCGAGCTGCGCCAGCAACAACTGCGACTAATTGCGGTGGTCGGGCAGCTCCTTGTAATATAAGCACAGGAGGCTGGTCTTCGGGGCGTTTGCGCGCTGGGCAAGGAACACGTCGAGGCGGCCAGTCAAGGACGCACTCGTCGTTCGGGCTGCGGCCGCCACGGTGCGATTCCACACTGCCCGCGGCGGCTCGCGCGGCAGCATCTGCGCCGTGGCGATGGCCTGGCAGGGTTTCGGGTATTCAGGTGTTCGCGTGTTCGGGCGTTCGGGAATTCGGGTAATCGCGTATTCGGACATTCGGGTCTTCGGGTCTCCAGGTGTTCGGGTAGGCGGGCATTCGGGTATTCGGGTATTCGGGTATTCGGGTATTCGGGTAGTCGGGTACTCAGATACTCGGGTATTCGGGTATTCGTGTATTCGGGTGTTCGGGTGTTCGGGTATGCGGGTATTTGGGTATTGGGGTATTCGGGTCTTCGGGTCTTCGGGTATTCGTGTATTCGGGTAGTCGGGCAGTCGGGTAGTCGGCATTCGGGTATTCGGGCACTCGCGTCTTCGGGTCTTCGGGTCGTCGGGTCTTCGGGCTATCGGGCGCCCGCTTACCCCGAATGCCCTCCAAATACCCTCCAAATACCCTAATACCCGATTACCCCAGCACCAGCAGAGCCGAATACCCGAATACCCGAATACCCGCATGCCCGCACACCCGAATACCCGCACACCCGAGGACCCGAAGACCGGAATACCCGAATACCCGGATACCCGAATACCCGAATACCCGCACCCGAATACCCGCATAACCGACTACCCGAATAACTGGAAAACTGAATACCCGAATACCCGAATGCAAGAATACCCGAACGCCCGAATACCCGAATACCCGAATACCCGCATACCCGCATACACGAATACCCGAATACCAAAATACCCGCATACCCGAAGACCCGAATACACGAATACCCGATTAACTGGATAACTGAATACCCGACTACCCGAATACCCGGATGCCCGAACACCCCAAAACCCGAATACCCAAGGCTGGGAAGCGGCTAACCCTCGAGGCTCGAACGACGACGATTTCCACGCTGGGTCTCGGGCGGGGCAGCGGGCCCCGCGCGCAGGGATCCGTCAAGCCCGAAATCGCCGCGGCGCGGCTCGGGCAGACAACGGCGCTGCCCTTGCCCCGCCCCCCGCCCTGCCCTGCGCTGCAGGGGGGGCGTTACTTGTTTCGCAATCGATTAACTGATGGCCGCGGGGCAGTCTCGCCACAACGCACTCCCTACTGGAGCACGCGCGGGCGCATGTTCTAGCGGCCGGGCGCATCGTTGACCCCCTCCCACGCGTTCCCCCGGCACTCAGACATCGACAGCTCCTCGCGAATTTGGCGCTTCGCCCGCGGGGGCGCGCAAGCGAAGTCAATGAACAGTGCCCGCTACCCCGTACCCCGCCCGCCCCGCCCGCTCCGACGCCCGACCCCATTGGGCCCCCGTCGCCATCTGCACCGTCTACGACAGCTGCACCGCGACGCAGTCAACGAGGACAGCCCCGTCGTTCGCGATGGAGATCATCAAGAAAGCCCCATCGACATCGACGACCGCGTCGAGCAGCTCGACGCCCACGGCGATCGGGTCGAAGCGCCGCGTGACCACGCGCGGGCGCTCGTTGCCAAAGACCGTAGAGATCTTCGCGTTCTGGCGGCTGGGCACATCGTTGATCCCCCCCCACGCGATGCCCCGGTACTCGGGCGCCGTCAGCCCCTCCCGCATCTGGCGCTTCACCTGCGGGAGTACGCAAGCGAAATCAATGAATGCCTGACTGCCCGACGACCCGAATGCCCGAAGTCCCTGGCACCTGGACCCCGAATACCCGAATACCCGAATACCCGATGATCCGAATACATGAATACCCGTACACCTGAATCCCCAAATTCCCGAGGCTAGGGGGCTGGGGAGCGGGCGAACCTCGATGCTCGAGCGATAGCGATTACCACCCCCGTCGCCATCTGCACCGTCGACGACAGCGGCACCGCGAGGCCGTCGACGAGAACAGCTCCGTTGTTCCCACTAGAAATCTCCAAAATAGCCTCATCGCGCGCGACGTCGGCGAAGAGCAGCTCGACGTTCACGGCGATCGAGTCGACGCACTGCGCGAGCACGCGCGGCACGCGGTAGTCAACTGGCAGCCACGCCACAACCCTCGGGGCGGGCGGCGGAGCAGCGTTGAAACGCCAGAACTTCTCGCGGCACCGAACCCCCAGGGTGGCCCAGATCTCGCCCTCGCCCCTCGCGGTGCGCATAGCCTGCTGCTTGCTGAGGAGGCGCCGCGCCACTGCGCGGAAAGCAGCGTCGTCTCCGCGGTCGACAAACGCGAACTCCATCTCTGGGCACTCCGCCGCCAGCGAGGTCGAGCCCGCGCGCGGTGGCGGGTCGCTCGGCACGAGCACCTGAGCCGCGTCGCCTGCTGAGGCGGCAACATCCGCGCGGCGCGCCCACTCGCGCTCTCTCCGCGCCGCGATTTCCCGCTGGAACCGCCCGAACCCACGTTGTATATATATATATATATATATATATATATATAATGATGCCTATATACATATATAAGAAACAAGAAATCGCATTCCCAAGTCACGCGGTCGCCCGACGACGCCCGCGGAAGCGCCGACAAAAGCGCCACTCTATGACGACGCACAGAAAACCAGAAAGGCGCTCAATTGTTTGGACGGTTCAAACGGAGAAAACGCAATTCATTTTGACCCCGGGGCCACTCGCGCATCAGGCGCTCCGCAGCACGAGCTAGTCACCCCAACAGCCAGCGCCGGAGCCGGCGCGTTGTCGCGCGAACTGCTGACGCCCCTGAATTGCATCTATCGCGGCTGGCTCAGCGCCTCCTCGACGCGCCGCACGATGGCCGCGCTGTCATTCCTGGACTTGGTCGCCGTCTTCCGCGGCAAGCTCGCCCTGCTGGAGACCCGGGCCTTGCCCCGCACGCGGCCCGCGAGCTTGATTACCCCTCGATTGGGGCGTTTGTGCAAGTCCATGTTCAGCTGCCTCTGCCACGCCTCGCGACGCACGGTCGCGCGGGCTGCCCGCCCCTCAGCCGCCGCCGCAGGCGCGAACGCCCATGGCGCGCACAGCCGCGCCCCCTTCACCCTCTGCTCCGCCACCGCCACCACGTCGTCGGAAGCCGCCGCCTCGTCTTCGACGGCCGCGCCCGCCGCGGCGACGCCCTGCCTGGGCGCGCCTGCGACGAGGAGCCCAGGAAGGATACAGATGGCCCGCCTGTCAGTCAGCTTCTGGAGCGAGAGATCCCCGGGGTTCTTGCAGGCGCCGACGAGCATGCGGCTTAGCCCGCGAACCTCCTGCGCGACCTCAATCCGCCGGAGGCGCCGCTGGCGCACGCACCGGGCCCAGCGCTCCAGGAGCCGATGTTCGGCCTCGCTGCCGAGAAAGCCACTCGCGGCGTGGAATCCCCCAGCCACAGCCCGAAGCAGCGAGTTCTCCACAAGATCCCCGAAGCGACCGCGCCGCGCCCCGCACTGGATCACATGGAGCGCCGTTATCCCCTCGAGGCCCCTCCTCGCCATCTCTTCTGGGCACGCGGGCGCAATCCGTCTAGGCTTCGCGACGCACTCGGCGCGGGCCTGGAAAAGGCCACCCCATAAAAATCGGGATCTCCCCTGTCGTCCGTTGGCCCAGCTGCCCCAGACAGACGCCCGCGCCGCCGCTGCTGCCGCGGCAGAGGTCGTCGGCGGTCGGCGCCCCGGGGTCGCGATCGGGAACTTTCTCTGGATCGCCATGGCAGCGCGAGAGCAGAAATTCCGCCCCCTCCCAAAGCAACGCTCCACGCGGAACACAGCACACGCGAGGACGTCGGGCAGCGCCTCCAGGAAGCCCTCGCCGGGCGAGTCCGCGAACAGGAAGCGCACCTGGCCGATCATCTCGTCCGCGAAGCGGTCGCGGAGGGCCGCCGCGAAACGCTCGATCCCTCCCTTCGGCTGGAGGCTGAAGCCTGGGCAAGCGCCCGCGACTCCGATGAACGCGCGCGCCGCGCGGCGCCCGCCGCCGCGCCGGGCCACGCTCGCCTGCCCGATACTGGAGAAGGTGATCTTGAGTTCGGCGTCGCGCGCTATCGCCACCCACTCGCACCGCTCTCTCGCGGCAGCTTTCGGGCGGCGGGGCGCGCGCTGGACGGCGCCGCCCGGGTTCTTGGACATAACTATCACGCGCTCCTTCACCGTCGCCTACATCGCGGCAAACACTTGCGGCGCAGACTCTGCGCCCTCGGCCCACCTGGGAAACGCG